GCAGTCCCTCAGCTTGCCCACCAGAATTGGGTGGGACACTGTGTTGAAGGCCTTCTGGAAGTCCAAGAAGGCCTCCTTCCTCCTTCCCATCTAAGTTCTTTGTTACCTGGTCATAGAAAGAGACCAGGTTAGTCAGGCAGGATCGGCCTTGCACGAACCCATCCTGGTTACCCCTCAACACCACTTCCTCTGCAGGGTTTTCACAAATGTGGCCCTTGATAATTTTTTCAAAGACTTTCCCCAGAATAGAAGTGAAGCTGACTGGCCTGTAGTTGCCAGGCTCTTCCTTCCTCCCCTTCTTGAAAATAGGGACCACTTTGGCCCTTTTCCAGTCCTCAGGGACTTTGCCTGAGCACCAGGAGTCCTTGACCAGCTTTGCCAATGACTCCGCAATGACACCAGCCAATTCCCTCAGCACCCGTGGATGAAGGTCATCCGGGCCCGCTGACTTGGACAGATCTAAGCCATCCAGGGGCTTGTGTGAATAGGGAACTATTTGATTCAGGTTTACATTTGGCCAATTCAGATGCCAGCAATTCGATTCAGAGCTCTGAATCAATTTTTCACTTCGATTCAGAGATTCGGCCATAGGGTATAATGGGGAATCAATGAAATAGCTATAATTTTGTTTTCTGTCTGATTCTGATGACACTTGCAGGGATCATAGACCCTGCTGAGGCCACAAAACCTGTCAAGTTTCAAGGAGATTTCATAGATTTAATAGATTTCATAGACATTAGGGCTGGAAGGGACCTCGGACAATCATCAAGTCCAGCCAAAGGGCAGGAAGTCAGCTGGGGTCATAAGATCCCAGCAAGATAAGCATCCAATTTGCTCTTGAAGGTGTTCAATGTAGGTGCTTGAACCACCTCCGATGGCCGGTTGTTCCAGACCTTGGGGGCTCGGACAGTAAAGAAATTCTTCCTTATGTCCAGCCTGAAACGGTCTCACAGTAGTTTGTGACGGTTCGACCTCGTCATCCCTTGGGGTGCTTTGGTGAATAAATGTTCCCCCAGATCCTGGTGGTTACCCTGATAAACTTATAGGTGGCCATCAGATCACCCCTGAGCCTGCGCTTTTCCAGGCTAAAGAGCCCCATGGCTCTCAGCCTGTCG